AAGTACTTCATGTTCAAAATGGAAGGGCCCGGCGTGATGGCACAACATCCTCCCCTTATGATTTTCGCATTTGACATATTTGTACTCTGATGTTTTAAATATTGTAATGATTGATGGTTTTTGGTACAATCAATGAATTAAACTCATAGTTTTAAATGATAAATTTTATTACTGTTTTTAGGTTGTTACATCATGAGTGTAACTTACCTAATTTGAGATGAAGTGATGATGGTCTATGAGGATTTTGCAACTTGAAATGCTCGATTTTAAATTAAATAGAATAAATTTTTAGGCTCGACTATATAATAAAACTATAGAGGGGGGATCAAATTGTATTAAGATGTTAAGATCCTAGTCGGGGATCTTAGGATCCTACTATAGATATTGCTTCAGATAGATCCTAGTGAGATCGTGATCGTTTTTGGTTTGTAGGATTTGAAAATCGTAAAATCTTAAGATCAAGATTGGGATCTTAACAACCATGCTCTAGATAGAAACATTTACAGGAAGATAACAATCTTCTGATCATTGAAAATTTCTTTATGATAAAAATTAATCATTTTTTTATTATCTAAAATGAAAAGGGAAACAGATTGAGATTTGGAAACCAAAACAAATCAAACCATTTAAGTTTATGGTTTATTGTTTAGATTTTTCTAAAAATTGAAATCAAAACTTAATCAGTTAGGGTTTGATAGATACCTTAAGCCCACCATTTTAGGAGATAGAATCTTCCTTGCAAAAACCATTTACCAGAAGTGGTGCAGCCATCGATAGAGAGGACGAAGAGGATTAAGGTTTTACAGAGAAAAATAGAGAAGAAAGATTGGATGATTAAAGGTTTTGGCCGGATTTATGGATCGGTAAGAGATTTATAGATATGAACAAATGATATATGAAATTGAATGAGAATGTCAGTTGTGGTTTGATGCAAAACAATGATCAGTCCTGGTTTCTCATTCGTATAGTTAGAAAGTCGTATATGTTTTTTTTAAACAACAAATAATATTAAAATAAAAGACTCACGCCTAACAAGTAACTAGACGAGGGACAAGGGAAGAAAATAGTCAAGAAGATTACAAACAAAGAAATGGAGATGAGCTCCAAAACACCTGATTACAATTCCCGAGATTATCCCTATATTTTATCCATAAAAACATCATTGATTTGATATCATTCACCAATTTTGTAGGGTGAGCTATTGAATAGATAAGATCTTAAAATTTTAAAAATCATAATTATATTGTCATGAATGCAAAAATCTGAAAGCAAATAAATAGGATTCAACAGAACAAATTTGAATAGGCAAGAAGTAACAGTACCCAAGGCAGTTTACACATTTCAGTTAGAAAAAGAAAAAAGCGGGAAAAGATGTTAGGGGTGAGCTCAAAAGATGCCACATGGAAAAAATATACTCTTCTATTAAATAAGTAGATAAATATAATTTAATTAGGCAATAATATTCTCCAAAAAAATAAAATTGCTTACAATCCATTAAAATATTAAAACCAATATTTTAACAATTATATTATTATCGTTTTAGAGAACATGATGAACAAAAAATCATGATCATATTGAATACATAACTATGAAGCATAAGGCATTATATATATATATATATATATATATATATATATATATATATATATATATATATATATATATATGTTCAAATGTTTAAAGTAATTATTGTGTTATTGTATGCATAAATGTGTGCCAATCAAAATTAAATAAAAAATTAAAAAATTAAATAAATAAATAAGGGTAATTTAGTAATTTGTTTAGTAACTTCCAAAAATAATCCCTATAATCATGGGATAATCGCTGGTCTTCCTCACCTTAAAACCTAAATAAATAAGCTGGTCTTCCTCACCTTCTCATTGCCGCCTGCGACCTCCAACGTCGTATCTGCCTCATCGACCTTCGCCAAATATCAGCACCTTCGCCAAGACCTTTGCTGGATCCAAGCCCAATCTGACTCATGGATAAATTAGAAAACAGAATTGCGTTCTTACATTTACTCCGCCAAACAGCCAGAAATTCTCTCTTTGACTTCGCTTACTCCGACGGGACCACATTCCGATTTCGTCGCCTTCCGTCGTCAATCTACCAATTTGACGACCGGGAACCGCAACTAATCAGCTTCAGTGTCATACCTTTCTTCACCGGTTGAAAACAGATAAGCGTCAAGCATCATACTTTCCCCCATTTATAGTTCAAGGTCAAACGGCTGTTGAAATCTTCCAAGACAACTCAAAGGTGTTCAACTCAAACGGATTATTGGCACGGTTTGTAGATCTGGTGGGCGGAGTTGGTGATTTCTAGGGTTTGAAAGGATGATTTTCGTTTCTCTGACAGCGACGTGAAGGGAATTTCGTATGCTTTGAGGGTTGAACTTAGATGTGAAGTGAAAGGTTGATGGTAGTGTACGAAAGACCAAGCCTGCTCGCCATTGATGATGACCGGAGATTACAGTGACGTCTGGTGGTGGGCCGGTGAATCTGTCACATGGAATGGCAGATCTTGTTAGCTACGGTAACGCAGACCGTGACACCGAGCATGTATTTTTTATTAACCTTTGATATATAGCCTGCCTTATACTCAGAAAATATGAGATCTTGAAAATATGAGATCTTGTTAGGTTTGACATGACCAAATATATTATCACTCTTCTCCATGAATCTGTCAGTGTATATGAAGAGTAATTTAAGCAAAATATGCGTTTTCCTTATCAATTGCTACAGTTGAGGAATTGGATGTCTTCTCTTAGGGTGTTTGGTTTTGTACATTTCCTGGTAGAATAATTGAATTTTAGGTAGATCACTCAATGACATTGGATCATAGCTATCTGTTAGCCTTAGGACAATGGAAGGAAAAAACTAGGGTTCTCACGCATGAAACTGTGCTTATGTATATCATGTTGGGCTCTAATTGATATACCAGTAATCTCAATGAAATTATATATCATGAAATTATATATCATGAAATTATATATCATGTTGGGTGATCTCGTTTGTACATGATGAATATTTGAATATATCTCGGGTAAGTTTATATCAATCTCTTATTACATGTATAGATATTATTGTGAAGCAAATTGGACTAATGTTTCTTGGATATCAATGGGACACAAATTGGCTTAATTTCACAGGTTATCCTAGTAGATGCACAGAAGTTTACCAGTGAGCCAGTTGCAATTATTACCTTTGCCATATCGAGTGCCTTATGGTTTTCATGGAGCTTTCATGCCGATAATCTCCTAAATATAGCCCGTCAATTCTATTGGAATGGAATCACGAATTCCAATTCTGTTAGAATGAAATCACGAATTCCAATTCTGTTGGAATAACAGAAATTGATGCTTGAAGAACGGACCACAAAATAGAAAGTGATTCTAAGCAACATTATTCTTTTAGAATGTATTAGTGTCGTTGTTAGATTTTGATGTTTTCTTTCCCGTTTTGAAAGTTTTTTTAGTTTTATTCTTTAACAATAAATGTAATTCTTAACAATTGTTACCCGTATTCTATAAGAAATAATGTATTTTTTGTTTTTATTCTTCAATTGATTGTTCAAGAATTTGTTATTCTACAAGAAGTTTTTAAAGTCATGATCAAGAAATAGGTTCAAGAATATTTTTATTATTTATGGTTCAAGAATATTTTTTTTTAATATACTCATAAACATATTCTGTCAGAATGTCCGAATTAAAAAAATTATAATTCGTAAAATCAGATTTTTAAAATTAATAGAATCTATTATCCCTTAAAAATGCAATTTTCCTTTATTAAATCTATATTAATCGACTAAAATACCCTTGTAATTAATTAAAATGATATTTTTCAATTATATTTAATTCAATAATATATATTAATCACTTTCTTAAAATAAGTAAATTTGATTGGCTCACATTTATGCATACAATAACACAATAATTACTTTAAAAAGAATAACCTAAGTCTATATATATATATATATATATATATATATATATATATATATATATATATATATATATATATATATATATATATATATATATATATATATATATGATCGATAGATTTTCAACCATCAAAGCAAGACACCAAGGAAAAAACTTAATATTTAAGAAACTCGATGAACCCAAGTGGGCTTATTGATATTCCCTAGTTGTAGCCATCACCAAAAAGAAGGGAGAGAAGGATGGGAGGATTGGGGGTTTGAGTTCCTTATATAGGCTAAATCTCTTTTTAAATATTTTTATTATTGGGTAAGGCTTTCAAGTCTTTTCCTAGACGAAATAATAAGTTGAACCCATAAATTACTTACTTTAATTAATCTCCTTGTCTTTATTAAATAAAGTCGTTATTTAATAAAGTAACACTTTTATTTAAGAAAATTACTTAACAAATAATAAATAAAACATTCTATTAAACATTTATTTAGTTGATAAATAATATAATATTCATTTGGTTGGTAAATAATACAATATTTATTAGATAAATTTATTCATTATTTATTTTGGACATTTTGTGGTTTTTAGTATGTAACAACAGTATATCATATTGTAAATTTCTTACACAATATGTCTAATAGTGTCTACTAAAGACACTTGCATATGAGGATTAGATTCTAAAGAAAGCCAACACTATTTTATCGTGATATTCATAATGAATTAGATCAAATAAAGTTAGGAGGTTGTTAAGAGTTCACTAAGGTGAAATCACTAATACATGTCCTAAGACCATGATTTTCTTTACAAACGATAGGAGTGTTGATGACATTAGGACTAATCACGTTAATAAAGTGAGATTGTATGTTTATGAATTTTTGTATTTGAGTATTGAGGCATTGTTTTCATCATACATCGTTGTGCTCCAAAATAGCTTAGTTTCATCTATGAAATCACATGAAACAAAAATGTCCTAATAAGAAAAAAAATACAATATCCTAATAAGAAATATATATATATATATATATACAATCTTAAAAAACAAAAATGTTACAATTGAATAATTTTTCGGAAGGTATATCTTGATAAAAGTTATAACATATGATTACAAATACGAATGGTCTTTTGCAAAAATAAAGTTAAAATTCCATATCAAAATTTTGATTACAAATATCAAGTTCATACAATTGATCAAAAAAATACAAGGAAGCAACAACTCTCACTCTTGGTCAGAGTAATTGAACTTAATTGAATGCGACTGTAGATCTATTTGACCTCCTCTATAGCTTCCACGTTTCTTTTTCGTCTTTTCATGCCGAAAACCCCTACACATTAAATATATAACAATTTCAATAAAAATTTTCCACTTCAAGGTTACATTTGTTACGACTAGATGTGACTTGACAAGCTTTCTAGGGTCATTTACGTCTTTTTGCACAGACGTCAGATCAAGAGCAAGTCCTTGTCCTACCTTTTTGGGTAAGACAATCAGTGTCAAGTCCAATCAGTCCAAGTACAATGCACATCAGACACAGTATAAATGCATCAAGGAGATCGAGACTTACTTTCCTCTCACTAAACCTAAAACTTCTTGTGCTTTAGCACCATATCCGATGTCTGCACCATCCTACAATGTGTAATAAAATCATAAGAACTACACGATAATTTTTAAAAATGTGAGCATTTGTATAATATAGCATCTTGTTTCTATTTCTTTCTACTAGTTTTTTGTTATTATTATTAGGGCATTGTATTTATAGAACAAAGAGATACCTTGGCCCAATATGAATTATCTTGCAATTTCTCGTGAGCGAATTCAACTTGGTCAATTTTCACCCTTTGAAATGCATTGATAGTCTTCGGCTGCAAGAATACAATCAATCGAAATGGTTTCCTTTAGCAAAACGATTTCTCATAAAGCTAAAGAAATAGCAATGTACTTTCCATTTATTTTAATATAGCAATATACTTTCATTCTTGTTATAATCCATTGCTATTTCATGCAATTATTTCAAGAAAGAGAAGTATACAAACCTCTGTTGAATCAATACGTTGCTTTTTCACAGATTTCTGAGACTTTTCTCCTTCGTTTTTTTCAGGTTTCTCATTTTCAACAACCTCTTCTTCTTTAGGAGCTTCAGTGTTGTCCTCATTTTCATCGGACAACAATCTTTTCCTTTTCTTTGAACTCTTTTTGTCTTCCTTAACCACATCTCCATTTTTAGTGTCATTTGTTGCAGGTTCATCTTCTTGGTTGCTTTTACTCTTTTTATCCTTGGTTTTCTTCTTTGGTTCATTTACCTCCAATTCATTCACTGTATCATCTAATTTCTCTTCTTTGGTTTCACCATCAGAAGCTAAATCATGTTTGCTTTTCTTCTTCTTTTTTGGTTTAAGTTCAGATTCTTCAAGAACTACTTTATCTTGTGGTATTTCATCATTGCTCATGGAGAATTTGGATTGTTCTTCATCAGCATTACTCTTCTTCTTCTTCTTGGATTTGGTGGTTTTCTCATCATTTTCATCTTTTTTAGTGGATTCAATATCATCTTTGGCTTGATTACTGCATATACAAAATCTCAAATTGATGATATAGAAACATGAATATATGAATTTAAATGCACATACACGAGATTCATGAATTACGATATAAGTATGATCCATGAAGGAAGAGACATGAGAAAAAAATCATAGCAATCATAGAACAAAATAAACTATGCGTATAATCCTACCAGCCATTTACGAATTTGCAGTAGATTTCTTCCAAATTAGCCGAAGAAGACTTCCACATGTCATTCTGCACAAAAAACATGATTATTGAAATTTGTTAGCTAGTCAGGGGTAAACCGCATTAACTTTTAATCTCAAATTCCTCCGATTAAAGCAATTCAAATGAATTATAGTCGTTCCTAAGGTTTTTTAACTACATCAAATTTCCAAACTCCTTTCAGATGATTGTACAATAGAGTTAACAGGCACACGTTTACAAGATAAATGAAGAGAAACCTGAATCTGAGCTTCGGACTGAAATCGCTTCAGGGTTTTGGAGAACCCACTTCGATGGAGGTAATGAAGGATGGATTGATGGAGTATTTCTTTCGTTTCGGGGGTTAAAGATGCGATTTTGCTGCTTCCATCATCCTCCTTCGAAGTAGCTGTCATCTTGCTTTCCCAACTATGGTCGAATATGAGAAGTTAATAAGGGTTTCTAGGTGTTGTAAGTATTAATAGTTCTAGGGTTTTTGCTGTTGCTATGAAGCGGGAATACGAGAGGGAGGCTTCTTCAGCTCTCTCTGCGCCGACCAGGGAGGAGCAAAGGGTTTTATTAGATGCGAACTAGGGTTTTGCTAGTGGTTCGAATCACCAATCAAGTTTTACAAATATTTGTCAAAAATTTTAAATGAAGCTTTAAATATGTTCTCATTTAACCATCAAAATTTTAATTGTGCTAAATAGGTCATTCAAGTTACGATTTTGTTTCCATATACCCTTTGTTACCAATAGCTCTTGCTTAGCCGGAGGAAACAGGAGGACTTGGAATTAGAGGTCTCTTATGAAAATTTGAAAAAAAAAATGTAACTGTTAAATCGGTGAGGGTTAACGACATCGTTTTGATTGTTGGAAACCAATGAACACACATATAATCAAGCTTACCACCATTATCAACCATGCCACCTTTTTAGACGTTCGTTTTTCTTGAAGACGATGTAAACTCACAAGCCCTAGAAATCATATGCGAGTTCGTGAGTAATGAAGACCGGAGAAGAGGGACATGTTGGCTTTAGCGTGTAGATATTCTATCATGGGGTGTTTTTACCGAATCCTCGTTAGTATGAAGACGTAAATTTGATTATGGGTCACTCACCTACGACTCATTCATGGATGGACTCAGGGATGTGATTAATTATCGAAGGGCTTAAAAAAGCTTCAAGATGAAGTGAACTATGTCATATTCCTAGACTATTCTTATAGAATTAGTGGTCCTTTGTTAGTTTATGTTGATCAGTTTAATGACTCTATATTTGATTAGATGTGGGATGAAGCCTTACCACAAGCTGAAGAAATGTCAATCCCCGTCTGAGGATGAATTTGAAGAAGAAAATTCCCTCTCATTATGTAATGACATTCCGTTCTTACACACTCTTGAAGACGAGGTACCACCTACTTTCAACAACACTCTTGAATGATAAATTCTTAAGAAAACTAGTTGTTACGGATGAGTCAAAAGAGAGAAATAATGATTCACAAAACACGAGTCTCTTTGGTAATACTAGGAATCCTTATTTTCTTATCTACGAGCCTACCCAACATTGGAAGTTATAGAAAAAACAATGATGCGTATGCATTTTAAATCACCAAAAAACTAAAAGTGATGTTACAAAACTACGTTGTTGCTAATGGTTACAATAAGCAGGACAAATAACATAAATAAGAAGATAAGGAGAAGATACATATCAATGACCACATTGGGTGTTGCACGAGCCTCCTCAGCTTTCAGTTGAAATGCCCTGATCCGCCTCCGCCTTGCCCTGGCGACTATCAGTAATCCTCAGAGTCGTCGGAGTAGGTGCTACTACTGGTCCTCCTGATGCTAAACTCGGGCAGTTGGCCTTCTTATGGCCCCTCTGATTGCAATGGAAGCAAATCAGATCTGATGTCTGGGTGGTGGTGGTAGTAGTATTAGTACAATCCCTGCCGAAATGCCCCGTCTTGTCGCACTTATAGCAGCTTGAATCACCCGCCCTGCAGACCCCATCATGTGCCTTGCCGCACTCGCCACATCGGCCCCGACCATGCTGGCCCCTCGATTTAGAATCGAAACTCTTGGGTTTCTTCGCTGAAACCCCAGTCGTCTGCCCATGCTCTGCCTTCCTCTTCCATATATGCTCCAAATCAATCTCCCATTCCCGAGCCTTGGATATCATGTCGTCCTGTGTCGAGCAGGCGGAAAAACTAACAAACTTCTGAATATTTTGTCTCAACATGTCATGGTATCGAGTCTTCCGCATTTCCTCATCTACGGCACACTGAGGTGCCAATAGGGCTCTCTCTTTGAACTTGGTGGTGATCTCTGCCACAGTCTCAGTCGTCTGTCGCATATCCAGAAACTCCCTCGCTAGCTGCTGCACCTCAACAGCTGGTGCAAACTCCGCTCGAAACCGGGTCACAAAATCCGACCATGACATGGCCTCAATGGTTGGGGCTCCCATAGTATAGCCAACCTCCTCCCACCAATCCCGAGCTTGCTCCCTCAGACATCCTGCAGCGAACCTCACCTGCGACCCCTCGGGGTTGAAGCTCGTCATCTAGGCACACTCAATATCTGCTAGCCAATGCCTGGCGGCAATAGGGTTCTTCACCCTAAAGAATTCTGGTGCCCCACATTCCCTTAAATCCTTGAAGGAGAGAGTGTGGGCCCCAAACTGGCTAGCGGCCAGATCGGCCTTGAAGATCCGAAGGAGATCCTCCGTTAGCTCGATGATACCTTCCTTGATCGACCCAAACATCACCGGGGTCGCATCAAGGATGCCTCTAGTAACCTCTAAAGCAATGAACTCACATAATCCATCATCAATTGGTTCGGTGGTTGTGCCCGAACCAGATCCATATCCTGAACCCCCTGCTCCATTGCGTGTCACCACCATGCTGAAACATAACCACATAAACAATCAGTAAAACACACGAAGAGGTTCACACTCTCGAGCTCCCTAGATTCATCATGGTCTTCCTGGTCTCGGGTATAAATCATGTACTTCTAGTAGTACGGGGCCAATACTACATTCCACATATATCTATACCCTACTCGAGGACTACCTCGACTCCTCCAAGTCACTCATTCCTATCCAATACCCTCCTCATACTATAAGGCGTCCTATGCACTAATACATATTCTAGGAACTTCCTAGGGTTCCTTTCCTCAACACCATCTGCCATCAGTTGCAGAAGGAACTCCCACTAATACCATCTAAGTACCACACGAATACTGTTACATACTATCGATACTAGATAATTCTTTGAATGAATTGTCTCACACTACCACGGTTGGACTCAAACAAGAGCTGCACAATAAAGTTAAACATATCCTTCTAAAATTATTTAATCTTAATAATATGTAACCAAACGCATTCATCCATTAGTCAACTGGTACTAATAAAAAAAATTCCTAAAAGCACAAAGCATGCAACATTCGAGCATCAATCAATTCAAATCAGAACAGCCTAAACAGACCATCCTATCAGATAACTGATCTCATACTAGCATGAAAATCTATAAGATAATAAAATAGGCACATAAAGACATCTCTCCTAGCATACTATCATGCAATCCTGAGCAGATCCTTAGTCCTAATCTAGCATGTGATTCTCATATCATAGCATAAAACATATGACATGTATGGGTATTTTGGGAAATTTACTTAAGCTCGGTTGATTTCACGCATCACACCCCTTTCTTTTATTAAAATCTCTTATTTAAAATGTTTCTTTTTATGGAAAAATCTACCAAATCCTCGATTTGAGTTCAGGCACACCCGAGAGTATGCCCGATTCCCTCAAACCAAGGCTCTGATACCAACTTGTAACATCCCAAAATTTCCAGATAAAAAATTTCATTTCAAACATTCATTAGTCATAACAAAACAACCAAAAGTGTATCATGTAACGCCCGTAGATTCGGGCTAGTCAATTTAGAGACAATGAGCGTAAAAAATGACCTTTTTATGGAAGATTATTTATAAGGAGTAATATTAACCAAGTTATAGTATATGTCACAAGGATTCCGTACATATAAAGAACGCCGAAATCCGAGTTATAACGAAGAAGTTATAACCCGTCGAAGTTTTACGGCAAAACCGTCACGACACCAGGAATCGTAAAAAGTGAATTTACAATAAAATACTTTCTAGCCTTAGTGATCTAAACGAACGTCGTAGTATATGTTAAACCGAGAGTGTGCATAAAAAGAACGTCCAAATCTGACTTCGTATGAGGAAGTTATGATTTTTCTAAAATTTAGCACAACAGTGCACAACCTGAAATTCGAATTTTAGATCGGTCTATTTTTAACCAAAATAGTCTAAACGAGAATTGAAGATCTCGTTAATAGAAGCTCAACGATAAAAAGACAGTCTAAAACGGAGCTTGTATGCGAAAGATATGGATGAAACTTAGTCCCTACTCTTCGAGCGTGGCGAATTCGATACAGTTTTGTAAATCTGAGATAGAGTGAGAACTAGCCGACGGGATCTAAATGAAAGTTGCAGTGCTCGTAAATACCAATGTGTGGATATAAAGAACGTCGATAATAGAGCTCGTACATGAAAGATATGGACGAAACTTAGTCCCTACTCTTCGAGTGCAATAAATTCGATACAGTTTTGCAAATCGGAGATAAAATGAGAATTAGCTGACGAGGTCTAAATGAAAGTTGTAGTACTCGTAAATACCAACGCGTGGATATAAAGAACGTAGAAAACGAAGCTCGTACGCGGAAGATACGGACAAAACTTAGGGCCTACTCTACGAGAAAACCCCTATAAATAAGAGATGAACTCTTCATATTTTCTTCACACCATAAGCCTTTCTTTCTCTCTCAAACTTCTCTCTAGACTCCCTAAATCCCCCTAAAGCCTAGGAAACTTCCCTAGCACTAGAAGAAAGCCCCAGAGCGCACAAAGGCTCCGAGAAAAAGAGCTTTTCGGCTCAGAAGCGCTGCTCCAGCGAAGCCCGGTTTTTAATAAAAACCCGCTGTAAGTGAGATATGCCTACCATACTTTAAATATAGCTTATATTTAAATATAATATCATTATTATGAACCTATAAATAGAATTATCAGTGATTCAAAGTTATTATACTGATTGAACTACTTACGAGAAAGGTGTCTAGAATGGTCACATTGGGTTTGGTTGTTGGATTTCAGAAAAGCTATATGCCGAAATGGTCCTGCCTCCCAACTGTCCTGCCTGGCTGATCCTTACTTGATATATCATGAAAGTAGACTTTGAGTTAATGATGAATCTAGACTAATAATTAGTCGCAGTAAATATTAGACAAAAATCTAGTGGTAATAATAATAGGTTTCGTCGAAGGAAATCATATTGTTAAGAAGCGAAGCACTGCTCGAATTTCGAGTCGTCACTTTAACAAGTGAGTGCATAGTTACTTTCATCTTACACATAGATATGAAGTATTTTTATATAAATTACGTGTTGTGAGTGCATAGTTACTTTCATCTTACACATAGATATGAAATATTTAATATAAATTACGTGTTATGTGTGCATATTATCTGTGTTCTTGATATCTATGAGGGATGAACGATTTATACATGTTTTAAATTATTTAAACTGTATATGTATTTTATATCTACGAAAGTGTTGGGT